TGATGTATGATTTTAGCTACCTGATCGTGTCGATGTTTGTATTCAGTTTGTGCAAGTCGTGTGCATGCCGATATTATATGTTGGATTGTTTCTGATGTTTGTGAACAGAGTCGACAAGAATCGTTTGTCACTGTTTTGTCTTTATGTATGTGTTTTTTATAGTTGCGTGTATTAATGACCTGGTCTTGTATTGCTAACATGAAACCCTCAGTCTCCGGGAAGATGTCACATTCAGACAACCAAGTGTGCGTTGCTATAGAATCAACACAATCCTGACTAACCTCTTGTGGAAATCGTCCATGCAACGGCTTTTGGTTCCATGTCTGTATGTTATTTGTGATGTATGTAAGTTTGGATGGAGGTGGGAGTATATTAGTTTCGTGTAGGTTAAGTGGTGTGTATGATTTGTCTGCATATGTTACTGTTTTGTGTAGGACTGAAGTATCTGTTTTGTTATAAAAGTATTGTCGCAAATTGTGTATTTGTGTTTGGTGCAATAGTTTTATATCTGTAAGTCCTCTACCTCCTTCCGAACGAGGAAGGTAAAGTCGTATAGTAGAGAAGTGAGGGTGATGTATATGGTGTTTTGTTAATAGTGTACGTGTGGTTCTCTGTATTTGTCCAACGTATAATCCCAAAAGAGTATGTAAGCACTGGTGTGGCATAAGTGTTAATAGCTTTGATTGTATTTCTACCGTGTAATTTTGTTTTAAGTATACTGCGTACTCTTTGTAGGTATTGTGTGATAAGTGTTTGTTTTATACTCGTATGTTTAATGTGTGTGTTTTGCTGAAAACCAAGATACTTTTATAAGTTTCATTCTCGTCCATGGAATTTATTAAATTACCCTGTTCTAGCTCATAATCTAAAAGTTGTCTTTTTCCAGCTGTGATGTGTTGTGTTTTACATTTATCGATTCCAAAGTCCATTTGTATGTCACGTGAGAATGTTTCGGTGATGTGCAGAAGGTGATTAAGTTTTATGCTTGTGGAAGAGTATAATTTAAGATCGTCCATGTAAAACAGGTGTGTAATGTTGTGATGTATTTCGTGGTTGTGTTTAATATTGTACCCAAAGTTAGTAGTGTTTAACAAATATGAAAGTGGATTAAGAGCAAGACAAAACCAGAGCGGACTTAAAGAATCGCCTTGAAAAATGCCTCTTTTAATTTGTATTGGGTCAGTAATAAGTTTTGTGTCGTTTAGTGTAAGTGTTAACGTAGTGTTCCAACATGACATTATGTAATTGAGGAATTGTGTAATATTGTTGCTGATTTTGTATATTGAGAGTACTTGTTGTAACCAAGAGTGTGGTACTGAATCGAATGCTTTTTTGTAATCAATGTATGCAGTGTGTATGTTTCGTTTGTTATGTCTGGATTGTTCAAGTATAACAGAGTCCATAATGAGTTGCTCTTTACAGCCTCTGGAATACTTGGTACACCCTTTTTAGCGCATTTCCACAAAAATAAAAAAAAATGCGCTATTGTGGCCACTTTGTCCGTCCGGCTGTCCGTCCGTCCGTCCGTCCGTCCGCTAACTTTGCGACGCTACTAGTTCTTTATCTCAAGAGCTATTGTTCTACTTTTTTCGCTATTTGGTTCGTTATGGTGTCGAGTCTTGTACCAAGGAAGGAATTTTTTCTGTACCGCTTACAAAAAAAGTTATTGTAAAAAAAACAAATAGTTATTTGTTTCATTAGTACAAAAAATGTCAGTTTTCGGGACGAGGAAGATAGTTGCTGGACGACGCGTTAGCGGAGTCCAGCAACCTTCCGAGTCCCGAAAACGCATTTTTTGTACGAATAAAACATAAAATTTTTTCTCCAATCCCCTTTACTTTAAATTATATTCGAATTTAGATTCAGTTCACAGTTTCACTACTAGTTTGAGAACTTCTGCTTTCTTGTCCTCACGTGTCATGCCACTCTAGTTTTTAGGTTAACTTATAACCTATTCGTTCTTACTTCTTACTTCTCACCTCTCGCGACTTTGTAGGGAGCAAATCTAAGGTAGCATGTTCTGCCGTTTCTATAATCTCTGGCGGAGTGCAATCCATGTCGCTATCAGTTTCAGTCATTTCTATTGTATACAAATTAATATTGTTATATATTGTATTGAAATAAAAAACTTACCATACAGTTTTTTAATTAAAATTAATTGCAATTAACTTTTTCAAATTTTGAATTCAAAATGACAGATAATAGTGCAATAGGTCTGAAGTAAATGGCGCTACACGCTACGGCGGGTTGTATACGTATTAAAATTACATTCACCAAATATATAAATTACGTTACACATGGTTTAAATAAAAATAGCGAGCGTAAATCATTTTCAATACACGTATATACGTATAGGTAACACCATTATTTGCATTGAATATGCAAAAGTATTTGATTTGCATGTATAGAAATATCTTACAACCTGTAATGTAAAACGATGTCAATGTGACATATCTCCGTGATAGTAATTTTTTAATTGGCCAACTTTCAAGGTCAATTTCTTTTTGGTACTAGGACCAAAAGTATCCACTTTTTGTACAGTTGCCATGGTGATAGCGATTAATCCGCAAAACGCCAATTTTACGTACCGAACACTGTCACAAAATAGCGTCTTATTCAGGTGGTTGGAGAAAAAAACCGTTTTTTACATGTTCCATAATTTTACACTTTTGCCGTTTATTAACGATCCTAGAGATCGTTTATAATTTTGCATTGCTATCTGTCGCCTGCCGGTTGATCTCTCCGTCTGTTCCTTTGTCTGTCTGTCCATCTATCTCTCCGTGTGAACGATAACTTTGTTTAGAAATGTTCGATCGCTTTTACATCTCCGTTAGTTATGAACTGAATTGCATGAAATTCAATATGGGCATAGCTTTAGCCATATAATACGCAATGCCAACAGTTGAATCGAATCGATTCAAAATTCACAGTGCCCTTTTCGCATCTCGACCATTTATAAACCGAATTGCAAACTTTTTTACTTATAAAAGTATTTGAATGAAATATGATACATAGGCACTTGTAATAAAGGAAAATCAAACGCCAATTTCAAAATTTGGTTTTGCGCATGCGCAGTGCCAACTTTTTTATTTATGGAAGAATTTAAACGAAATTTGATACATAGGCACTTGGAATAAAAGAAAATCAAACGCCAATTTCAAAATTTGGTTTTGCGCATGCGCAGTGCCAACTTTTTTATTTATGGAAGAATTTAAACGAAATTTGATGCATAGGCACTTGGGATAAAGGAAAATCAAACGCCAATTTCAAAATTTGGTTTTGCGCATGCGCAGTGCCAACTTTTTTATTTGCGGAAGAATTTACACGAAATTTGATACATAGGCACTTGGGATAAAGGAAAATCAAACGCCAATTTCAAAATTTAGTTTTGCGCATGCGCAGTGCCAACTTTTTTATTTATTGAAGAATTTAAACGAAATTTGATACATAGGCACTTGGGATAAAGGAAAATCAAACGCCAATTTCAAAATTTGGTTTTGCGCATGCGCAGTGCCAATTTTTTTATTTATGGAAGAATTTAAACGAAATTTGATACATAGGCACTTGGAATAAAGGATCATCGAGCGCCAGTCTCAAAATTTTCTTTTGCGCATGCGCAGTGCCAACTTTTTTTATCTATGGCACCATTTAAGTGAAATTTGATACTTAGGCGCTTGGAACAAAGGAAAATCTAGCATTAGTTTTGAAATTTAGGTTTGCGCATGCCCAGTTCCAACTTTCTTATTTAGAAAAGCATTGAAATGAAATTCTTCTCATAAACTGAAATTGAAGTAACACGTCAAAAATGGATTGCCCATGTGCAAAGCTATCTTTCATATTTGTGCCCGGATTTTTACGATTTTAACAGAAGTTGCATCTTATAAATGGGAAATGAATGCAAGTGGAAATGCGCTTTATGTAAATCGTTTACGATTACTTTTTAACTTGTTGTTCTTCGTATAGAATGTTGTTATCAGTACAGTGTTGGTATATTTTGTTTGTAATGCATGATGTAAGGATTTTGTATATTGTAGGAAGGCATGTAATTGGTCTATATTTAGATGGGTCTTGCGTATTGTTGTCTTTTGGAAGCATGTAAGTGATACCTTGTGTAAAGAATGCAGGAGTGCGATCTGGTGAATTAAGAAGTTCAGTAAATTGTTGTGCAAGGTAAGAGTGAGTGTAGGTAAAATATTTCCACCAAAAGTTGTGAATGTTATCAATGCCTATTATTATTATTATTATTATTATTATTATTATATTATATACCTAACTACCGAATTGCCTACAATATTATTATTCGTGTGTTAATTTGTAGGCGGTGATTGTGTTGCAGCAAGAGACCTCTACATTGGATTTGTGACTTGTGAGATAACCACAAATTGGGAATGGTGCTAAATGCTACAAAACTCATACATATTTAGTAACATTTATTTATAATTTTTGAGCTTGTATTTGTCAAGTTAACGTGAAGTTAGTAGTGCATTTTTACAACATTGATTTGTGAGCTAACTATTGGAGTTCAAAAATTGAGAATATTGACCGATTTATACTTGATTTTAATCCGTGCGATTAGTTAATCAGGTTAGACCTGAGTTTTGACAAGAAACACCGACCATAATAATAATATCTCCCTTCGTTAGCCTCCCCATCGAATAATTTTGACTGAATTTTTATAATCGATTCACTGTATCTCGAACGTGTCACTGAAATTAGATATTACCTATTTATATTGTTTTTTATACAATACAATAACAATATAATAGTCGTGTACAAACAAAATATAGTGATAATTTTGAGATTTTGCCTCGCTCTTGTTACCTTGTCTACATCTCAAGGTTTGATAACGTATATATTTTGATAAGTTTCGGACTATATGATGAATTGCGTGCGTGCCGAGGTTAACAATTAATCGATTCCAGGCGCATTTAGATCAAAATACGTCCGTTTTTTAAGTAGGTTTATGTTTTTATGACAAGACTTTAATTCTTTCTTTCTTTTACAGTGAGGCCTGGCTTAGAAATGGGAAGTGTGCACTATTGCCTAAGGTGGAATAATCATCAAAGCAATCTCTTGGGGGTCTTCAGTCAACTGCTACGAGACGAAAGCCTTGTAGACGTGACACTGGCTTGTTCTGAAGGGCATTCGATACGTGCCCATAAGGTTGTTCTCTCGGCGTGCTCATCGTATTTCCAGACCCTTTTCGTGGATCATCCTAGTCGTCATCCAATTGTGATCCTCAAAGACGTTCGCTTCGCAGAATTGCGCACACTTATAGAATTTATGTACAAGGGGGAGGTAAACGTAGAGTACTGCCAACTTTCGGCGTTATTAAAGACGGCGGAGAGCCTTAAAATAAAAGGTCTCGCTGAAATGACAAATTTAGGTCCATCTCGAGACTATAAACAGGATTCGCAAAATGAACAAACTGAACCTACCGAATTAGTTAATAAGGAATCTACGAACGAAGAGCCAGAGCGCGCCGAGACACCACCAAGAATATGCCGGACACCAGAACGACCTGCATCGAGAGAACCACTGAGATCGACCCCACCGACCCCCGAAGATTGTGGAAGAAATGATATGACGTTGCATAGTACTAACAATCTCGTTACCTGCTCATCTGTTCCGGGATCAACAATATGCAGTCGAATATCCTCTCCTCTCAATTGTGAACCTGTGCCGGGCCCATCAGGATTACCGCCCGTTCAGCAAGTGCCTCTGGTAAGCAATTTTATGTTCAACGTAATGATGGAGCACGCAATTTCTTAAAAAGTAATCGTTGATAACTGTTACTGTAACGTCTGTCAACCGGAAATATACATTCGTTGATAAGATTCTGATAAACCAGTCTGAAGTTTTATCGCGGTTTTTACAAATATGGAGTAACGTGGCATATTACGTATACTTCTCGAATATTGTGCTGATTGGCATGATACATGGTCAATCGATAGGTAACTGATACTTATACCATTACTCTCGAAGCACTTAATCACAATTTAATATTATATACTGGTGACAAGTAGGGTATCAAATTTATCGTTATAAGAATAAGCCTAAAGTAACATAACAAGAATTGGCGTAATGTTATTTCAAAAAATACTGGGACGCTAAAATATAACAATAGCTCCCCGTGCTCACCTGCGTCTAGCTAGATAATGAACAAAAAATTAAGTGAGATATTTTCTATATTACCGTTTGGCTTTTTAGTCCAGGGTAAATAGCTCTAAAATAGTTTATTTTCAAAAAAAATTAGTTACCGGGCGAAACCGGGTTTTTCAGGCGGGTGAAATGATTAGAAATTGGGAAAAAATAATTAAAACAGCTGAATTTTTCGGCGGGTGAAATCCCGGAGATTGAAAGGGGTGGAAAGTGGTGTTTTGCAAATGGTGGCAAAACTATTAATTTTAGACGAAAATGTTTAATGTAAAAGTTATGGAGATTACAGCTATCTTTACTCCAAATTTCAAACCTCTACGACTTTTTTCGTAAAAATAAGAATAAAAATCGAAAAAAAAGGTTTTTCCGTTTTTTCTAGGAAAATTGGAGGTTATGTGAAAATAGTGCAGATACAAAAGTTGTTTATTTTTTTATTCTCTATAACTTTTATATTGAACATTTTCGCCTAAGATTAATAGTTTTGCCATAAATTGCAAAATACCAGTTTCCACCCCTTTCAACCCCCGTAATTTCACTTGCGGAAATATTCAGCTGTTTTAATTATTTTTCCCCAATTTCTAATCATTTCACCAGCATGAAAAACCTGGTTTGAACCGATAACTAATTTTTTTGTTAAAAAATATTATATAGCCTCAACTATTTAACGAAATTGTTGAACAATTAAAAACAATTATAGATAGTGTAAGCACAAAATCGGTGCGCGACTCCACTGTTTATTTTTAGCGTATTTTCCTCAAAGTGGAAAATTGCTATTGGCTGCACTTTGTCGCCCGTCCGTTCGTTCGTCACACGTACTCCTTCTACATTATTGAACCAATTTCGGCGATATAGGGCTCATTTGAAAGGGCTTGGTCCAAGGATTCCATGCATACTGATATTTTTTGTTTTTGCGCATTGTCAAAAATTTGATTTAACGCATGTGCAATGCTAACTTTTTTATTTATGAAGCTATTGAAATGCAGCTTTATATGTAAACACTACGAATATAAGTAAAATGTTGTTTTGCGCATGCGCAATCCCATCTTTCTTATTTATGAAAGCATTTAAATGAAATTTAATACATAGACACTTGCAAAAGAAGCAAATCTAACACCAGTTTTAAAATTTGGTTTTGCGCATGCACAATAGCAACTTTCTTATTTATGAAAGCTGTTAAATGAAATATCATATGTAGGTACTTTGAATGAAACTAAAACTAATACAGGTTTCAAAATTACTGTGTACGCATGCTGTATGTTTTATTTATGAAGGTATTCCATTAAATTTCTAATGTAGACATTGCGCAATGCTATTTACGAAAGCATTTATAAAAAGTCCATATGTAAAACTTCGAATAAAAGTAAAACGAATGCCAATTTCAAAAGTTGTTTGTATTTATATACGCCCCACTATTTTTCATTAAACTGTATAGACTTCGACGATAGGTAGCTCATTTGAAAGAAAAATGGGGTAAGGATCTCGTGCCTATCGGTATTTTTTCCGGTCCTAGCACCTAGCATTAGTTATTAGGGGGAAAATCGGTCTCGTCATTTAAGTATGTTTGCATAATGACTTTTTAACTTTGTGGATCCGTTTAACATAGATCCACGAAATTTCAATGAGAGCTGGTCAATGGTACATGCAACTAAATTATGGTGTTTGTTAAGTTTTAGTAACACTGGAAATAATTAATTTTAAGGGTTTAAAAAGTCTTTGAAGTTAAAACGACGATAGTATATCCGTGTTTTTCTATATTTCCACTATCATATTTCTGTTTCTAGGAACGATATGATTATAATTGTTTCGGTGTCTTAAACTAGAATGATATGCGCCTCCAAGTAGGAATTCAGGAACACGCGAATTGGCCACTATTCATTCGATATACATGTGATGCAATGGTATCAACAACAAAAAAGTTTCTCGCATGGTGTTTTGGTGTGTGGAGTTTTGCTCAGTGCGGATAATTAAAGCGCGATTTTGTAGGCCTTGTTAAATCTACACTAATACCAGATAAGCATAATTGGAGGTGCATATCATTCTAGTTTAAGACACTGAAACAATTACAATGATATCGTTCTTTTATCTTCAAACACTTTAAAATTTATTTTATTTTATTTTATTTTGCCTTTATTTTTGAGTGGGCGGGGTTTCAGCCAAGGCTGCTCTACCAACCCAACCCAGTATGCATTTACAAATATCCATGCCCGAACCAGGGGCCCTTAGAACCACAGTTCAGCTTTAACTGAACTGCGCCACACGGGCCGGCCAGTGTTGCTAAAAATTCACAAACACCATAATTTAATTGCCTGTACCATTGAGCAGCTCTCATTGAAATTGAAATTCGTGGCTCTATGTTAAACGGATCCGGAGTAAAACAATAAATAGTAGACCCGCGCACGGATTTTCCATAAGCCGTAATGTATTTAATGTGTCCCGAACTGACTCCTAAGGTCACGTGCCTTTTTGGAGCGCTCCGGCCTGTAAGTATCGTAGGCCTCGATCTGGCCTATAAAATGCCAGAATAGTTTTAAACAAAATTTAATTTTTCTGAAATTACTTTAGAAACGACTACTTTCGTGAAGTATGTAGTAACACGATATTTGGACACGTTTTTTATTTTTAGCGCATTTTTTAAGAATTAAAAAAATGTGCTAATGGCCCGTATGAATAAAAGTAAGCAAATGCTTATACTTGCAAAATTCAAAGTAAATAGGTACTCGTACCTAACTGCCCACTTCTACCGTTTTGAACTACTTCTAGAGGAATGGTCCTAGAGTCCTGGAATTTTTTGCAGTACGTAGCCTATACAGGTGTGCCAGACGGCCATCAAATTTCGCTGTTCAAAAGGGGAGCTCCCCCACGAATTACTTCCTGAGATACTGTTTTTGAAAGTAAAACGTGCATAACTTATACATACGACAACCAATTAGTCTCAGATTTGGCATACGCATGCCTTTAGTGGTGCCAAGTTAAACTTTAGAAAATGGAGGGGGGGGGGCACATGTTCTACCCTTCATGGTATTCCAATGAAAGGTCTCATCGAAATAAATTGGTTTGTACAAACTATAACTTTCCCGTGCGACTCTTTTTCGAGATCAGTGAGGAGGGAGGGGTAAAATTAATTTTATCTCACATTGTATTCTAATTAAAGGTCTCAACGAAAGACACCGTTTTGTACCAACTGCTGCCCTTCTTTCTGTCCTCTTATCAAAGTACGGGGTGGAGGGGGAGGGGGGGACTAGAACTAGTTTTTATCCTTCAAGGTACTCTAATGAAAGGTCTCAACGAAAGGAATTAATTTCTACCAACCATAGCTCTCCTCCTCGACCTCTTATCGTGTTCGGGTATATTCCCTTATACTTCAAGAACGGATTGTCGGAAGAGGGTACTCACAAAGGGCGATTGTGACGTCTGCAAAAAATATATCCATTGGTGATATCAAAACAAAAGCTATTTCGGTTTTAAAAAATGCGCTTTATCTGGACATTTAATATTTATACAAAGTCAAAATGTGAATTAAATATACTTATTCAATCAAGTTTACGGCACTTTATTTTTGAATGTTTTCGAGTTTTTATCAAATTGTAATTTGAGTGTATTAATTTTAATTTTAACTCAACTTTTGTTTATCTTCGGTTATCTGTTTATCTTAAAAAAACAATTTTTGCTGCACTTGTGCGGTACCTATATCTATGAGCCTTTCTACGACCAAGAAATGCCGACATCTCGTCCCTCACACGGGCGGATGGACGGAAAAACGCTCGTGATACCCCATTTCATTTCAATTTTTGGAAGATGCGCTAAAATAACAAATTTTGAAATATATAATTTTCTAATAGTATAGGGTTTTCGCTATAAAAAGCGTTGCACGTCATTGATTTGATGACATCAACAATACACGGCATTGCCAAATATTTCTAAGGTATGCTGATATATTAATCTTTTATTAAGGAAACACTTTTAGGTTATGTTTCTACCATCCAGATTCCAGAGGAACTAGAAAATTCAGAGATCATTTTTGGGCTCCCTGTGTGAAACCAACCTACTGTGCATCAATAAAACCCATTCCTACTGTGCTGTGACGGGTTCAAGGAAAGTGCAGTCCACTAAGTGTAGTACTATTAGCATTTTGTTTATAACGTATCGCTGCCGTTGTGAGCAGAAAGATGAGGAATGTCGGCATTGCGGCATTATGTAAATGTTTCGGTAGTTATAAACCATTGCATAGGCCATCAGCAAATAAATATCAAGTTAATGCTTGCTTGAAATCTTGACTGATTTTACGTTATTTGACCAACTCTTGCTGTAGTGGAATTTGAGACTAGTAAGTTCAACCAAGACAAAAACACAAGAAATTTTATTGAACTAAGTACATAAAATGATAATTAACATAAACTGATATGATCGTAAAAAGGTGAAAGATACTTTTCAGACTACGTAACATTCCATTTTGTTAACATAAAACAAAATAAATTTTAATACACAGTTCTCGTGACTTAGGTAATTGCAGTTTTAATTATTGTCCAGTTAATCGTCATCACTCAACTATCATTTTCACCCAGTTTATAATAATTGGGGCCATTTCTGCAATATCCAATTGTTTTTCGCGTTCA